CTGGTGGATCGGCTCTGGCTCCTGCCATCATGAGGGGTGGACAGTCCTCTTCTCGGGGCAGGAGACTGCCAAACAACAGGGAATGGCTCTTCTTCTGAACAAAATAATGAAGGGGGCGTGGGAGCGTGGTGGCGAGGTGTGGGAAGCTGTAAGCCCCAGGCTACTCTGGGCTCGCCTTCCCATCAACCAGAGGCGAGGAGTGGTGGTCGTGCGACAGGGATGTCCTCTGGCTCCCACATTATTCAACATATATTTCGACCACGTAGTTCGTGAAGCGTCCAATAGCTGTACCGGAGGAATTTCCATCTGGTACAGATACAATGGGAGGTTGATCTATGCCCAGGTGCTGTCAAGGCATGGCTCGCTATTGCTCAAGCATGCCGATGATCTGGTAATCGCTGCTCACTCAAATGAGGAGTTGAAGGCGCTGCTGCTGAACCTGGAGCTTGCCACTAAGAGGTGGGGCCTTACTATCAGCCCCTCCAAAACTAACCACCTGCCAGGGTATTTTGTACCATCGGACACTCCACCCCCACAAGCGCCGGGTGGCTAAAGCACAGCAAGTTGGTACAGTAGGGGGCACAGGTGGTGCATCAGCCAGTCATCTCGGTCATCTCGGTCAGTCGACCCGTGGCACCTGCTGGGTCTGCCCTGTGACCTCCTGCCAGCGGGCGTTCGACACTTCACGTGGCCTCAAGGTGCACTTGGCCTGGCACAAGCGTCGTGGTGACGTCACCGCCACTTAGTGGAGAATGGCGATTGTTGTTGTTGTACATTACTAAGCGTGTGTGTGTGTGAGGCCACCTGAAGGAGCCTTCGATACTCTATGTGGTCTCAAAGTGTACCTAGCCTGGCACAAGCGCCATGGTGGCGAGGTGTTAAATACCTCGCCTGGTTTACATGAGGTCGTGGGTTTGATCCTGATTCTCTTGACGCCTGCTGTATATTTGGAGTTTGCGTGTCTCTCTCTCTTCCCGTGGCCGCGTGGATTTTTCTCCGGGTCCTCCGGTTTTTCCCTCCACATTTAGAATCAACATCACGCGTTGAGAGTATTTGGATGCTGTATATTTCCACGTGATAAGCCACTTCGTTGAGCTATCATTTGTGGCCATGTTGCTTCTGAAAAAGAGCTACATAGCTCAGTGGGCCTAACCTGTTAAAATAAAAAATAGTTCATAGTTTTTACAAGCGCTTGGGTGATGCCACCATCATATAATGGGGAATGGCAGCTGTTGTTGTTGCTGTGTTACTTTGCGCCTATGTCTATTGCAGCGCTGTGTTTGCTATAAGCTGTGTAGACAAAGCACGTGTGTGTGATGTAAGTGTGGGGAGCGGTAGTGTAGCGGTCAGCGCGCTGCGCTATGAACACGAAGACCCGTGACGATTATCTGAACCGGTCTTTGGCCTCCCCCTAGGTCGACTCAGCCTCAAATTAGTACCTGGTGCGATATATAAATATAGCCACTGGGGAGACAAAAGCGGCCGGGCGTGATATTAGCCACCCACCCCTTCGTGTGCCGTGCCAGCCTTCATAGGTGCTCTCTAACAGCGTTTGCCCCTACAGTCCTGTTTAAGGCTATATGGGGGAATCTTTGTCTTTGATTTGTGTGTGTGTGCACGTGCCATTTGTACGTGGTGTGTTTTCCAAGCCCTACCGGGGATTCGTGTCACTTGGGTCTGTGACCCCGGAAGTATCTCAGAAACCCGGCACGCGACTCCCAGCATGCCTCTTTCGCTGGCTGTGGGCCCCAATGGTCACGTTCCCACTTCCAGGTGGCCAGAAATGAAGCCCTACACCGCGCGCACTCACTTGTGACAGCAGAGGTCTCACTCCGAATCAGTCGAGCGGCATGATGTTTTCATGGACTGCGTCATGCTGCGGTGGAAGTTTCAAGTTCAAGTTCATTTATTAGGTATAGCCCTGTGAGCCATTCGGCTCTTGAATCGGGTGCAACCGCAACAAACAAAAAACAAAAACATGAACAAAAAACATCTTAAAGTGAATATGTGACTAAGTGCAAACAGAAAATCCAAGAAAAGACAGCAAAATATTGCAGAAAAAAAACCGTACACCAACGCTGTGTGCAAAAATCCCAGTGGGATGCAAGTCAAACAACAACCACAAGCTACCTGGTCTGTCGCTCAACACGAAGCTTCGGGTCTTCTCGGCCAAAGTCATGACCTCCCTTCTCTATGCTTGTGAAACGTGGGCCCCTCTGGTGAAACATCTGCGCTGGTTGGAAACATTCAGGCTGGCCTGGCTACGATCCTTCCTGGGTTCAACCAGGCTGGATTGTGTGAGGAGCTCACAAATCATTTTAAGATCTGGACACATTTCCATCAGTGAACGCCTCTGGTAGGCAAGGCTGCGTTGGCTGGGTCATGTTGCCCGCATGCCCAGCCACCGCATCCCCAAGCAGCTTCTGTTTGCCGCAAAGAGAGGACTAAACGGGCATGATATGGGCTGGAGAATAGATGGACTGATGCGGTACGTGAGGATGTGGAGCTGAGTGGACTTGCCGATGACTGGTACCAGCGGTGTCAAGATCGGCCTCTGTGGAGGAGGCTCGTGAAGGACGCTAATGGGCAGTTAGAGGCAGTCACCCTCCAGCAACAACTGAGGGCAGAGGAGCGACGCTCACAACAACGAACGGAGCGCCTGGCGGATAAAGTGCAGCAAGTTGGCACAGTAGGGGGTACAGCTGGTGCATCTGCCGGTCATCTCAGTCAGTCAACCCATTGCATCTGCTGGGTCTGTCCCGAGACCTCCTCCTGTCAGCCAGACACGTCACGTGGCCTCAATGTGCACCCGGCCTGGCACATTCGCCGTGGGACGTCACCGTCACTTAGTGGCGAATGGCGGCTCTTGTTTATCGGTGGAGAGCGGTAACGTCGTGGTTCGCGCACTACACAACCAAGCCGAAGACCCAAGTTCAATTCCTGCTCACGGCCAACAAGAGTGGCAAAATATTTCAACTAGCCCTGGGCCTCGCCTAGGTTGGCTGAGCCGTAAATAAGTACCTGGCGTGGTGTGTAAGCATCAGCACTGGGGAGACAAAGGCGGTCGGGCTTGCTGTTGGCCACCAACCCCTCGTGTGCTGTGGCAGCCTTCATAAGTACTGTACTCGCGAACAGCACCTGCTCCAACAGCCTGTACGAGGCGACACGGGGGCTCTTTGTACGCGCATGTTATATATATAGTATACCGTGTGTTTGTGTGTGTGCGTGGGGAGCGGTGGTGTAGCCGTTAGCGCGCTGCGCTATAAACCCGGCCACCCGGGTTCGACTCCCGCTCACGGCCAACACCGGTGACGATTATTTGAACCGGTCCCGGGCCTCCCCTAGGTCGACTCAGCCTCAAACGAGTACCTGCTGCGGTGCGTAAACATCGCCACGGGGGGGGGGGGGGGGGGACAAAGGCGGTCGGGCGTGGTGTTGGCCACCCACGCCCTCGTGTGCCGTGCCAGCCTTCATAAGCCCTCGCCAGCAGCACTTGCCCCAACAGCCTGTTGAGGCTACACGGTGGGGGGGGGGTGAACCTTTGCCTTTGTGTACGAGGAGGCGACAGCTGCCAGATGCCTCGCGTCGTTTATTTGGGAGAGCGACTGTGAGCGCCGCGCGGAGGGCGGGGAGGGCTCGCGGGGAACCCTCCAACCGCTCACCGAGGACGGCGATAAGCGCCCCCTAAAATTAAACCGCTCGGAAAATGATCGCGAATCCCTCGGGAATATCCTCGTGCGGCTGCCAACAAAAGTGAAACTCGCCTTTCACGGCCTGACCTGCCCGCCCACCCACCAGACAACGAGCAGCCCAAAGGCGTCGTTCGCTCTCGCACGCCTGGGTCGCCGGGTCGACCGCGGCTGGTGCCGCCTGACGATTCAGTAGCCCAGGGGCCATACGGCGCCGAGAGGTGTGTGCATCCTGGATGTGGTGTGCCGGGCGTGGAGCGGTTCTGCCGCGATGGCCAGAACGCTGCGCGCAAGAACGAACCGCCGGGTGGCTCCGGGCCCACCCGGTGCTACCCTGCGGGAGCAGATGGCCAGACATGGGGAGGAGCGTCACGCAGAGATGATGAATTGGCCGTGATTGGCAGCATTAATGAGCGCTAATTGGAGGGGGGATTGTTGATGGGGAGGGGGGGGAGTTTGTTGCCAGCTCACGTGAGGTGCGTTCACCGTTCTCGCGACGGGATGGGGTTAGGGGCCGTCCATAAATGACGTCACGCACCTGGGGGGGGGGGGGTGTCAGATATTTGTGACGATGTGTGACGAGGGCGGGGGGGTGAGAAATGTGACGTCACATCAAAATGAGCAACATTAAATAAATATAGACAACACGTTCTACTTAATTAAATATACTTTGTAATAAATGTTTTCTCCTACAACATCAGAGTGCAGCGCCACATTAAATATGCACTACAATGACAATAGTTTAAAGCGATTTGAAGCTTGTTTAATTTTTTTTCGGGGGGGGTCTGACTTTTTGTGACGCCGTGTGACGATGGGGGGGGGGTCAAAAATCGTCCACAATCGCGTGACGTCATTTATGGACGGCCCCTTAGTTCTCTCGTTAGTGCAGTCTTGAATTGCAGTCCCTACTCTCTCGTCCTTCACCTTGTCCAAACAAGCACCGTCTTCGCATTCTCTTGGTGTTCGCTGGAACGTTGCTCGCTTTGCGACTCGCAGATGGCAGTGAGGCGGTGCTCCCTCGGTGCAGTGATTATTGCTGCCCTCCTGGTCAAGTCAGGAACTCTCGCATGGCGAGCACGCATCTTGAACATCGCGGTGGTTAAATTTCATGATTTTCGCGGATTCGCTCGTCACTGGAATTTGGAACGTTAACTACTCGCCGTCAATACTTGTCCCAGGAGTACATCCAGGCGACAACAGGGGAGATGTGTGTAGGCGTGCGCGTGTGCGTGCGCGCATCTGCGCGTGTGCATATGCGTGCGAACACGCGTGCGTGTGTGTGTGTGCGCGTGTTGTGCGTGATCGTTGCAGGGGACATCACACAGAAGGGCTATGAGAAGAAGAAAGCCAAGTTGCTTGCCCCATACCTGCCACACCCACCAGGTAACTGGGAATCGTTCCGGGTGGCTTGGCGTGGTGGTTTGGGTGGAGTTGGGTTGAGTTGGGCTGCCGGAGTGCTTCCTGGTGGCGCCGTGCGGTGTCTGGCGAGTATTGGGTGGCTGTGCAGTGATTCGCTGTGGGGGGGCGGCGTGGTGGTGGTGTATGTGATGTTGATGTCCGATGTGGCACTGTGTGTGTGCGTTGCATGGCGCTTGGCGGGGCATGGTGGGATTGTTTCGTCGCTTGGCATGGGCATGGTGTGGCGTTGGATGGTGTTGATAGCACGGCATCATTATTAACAGCGGTTTTACAATGTGCTCCTGCTTGCCCAGTAGGCCTTGCCGAGTCTCAAGACTCTTTCCGGAGTCGGCGTCGATGTTGCTCTGTATTTTCCCAATCGAGTAATGTGCCGTGAAATACTCGCAGTCCTGGCAAATTTGAAGCTACGTCACCAGCAGACAACGGCCTATCCTCCGCGAACGACGCTGACGGGATATTTTAGCGTCTACGGTGGCGCAGGCGGCGCGGAGTAATTTAAAGGTTGATCCGCACACCACTGTATTAGCCGGGGGGGGGGGGGGGGGTGGGGGGCTGCCAGATTTCAGACTGCGGACCTCCTGCAACGAGCAGCGACGGCGCTAGCGCCCGGCTCCCCAACGCTCCCGCAGCGCCGTGCGATGGCGTGACGCAGCGTGGCCCGGCGTGACGGAGGGTGGTTCACGTTGCCACATTCCCCAGCTGCTGTCGAGAAACGCCGCGTTGTCTCGCCTGCGTGGGAGCGGGGGGAGGGGGGTGGGGGGCAGCGCGCCGGTCTATTGAACGAACGCTCACGCACGCCAACTCACGCGCACGCTCGCGCATTCACATGCAAACGATATGCGGCATCCCCCTCCCTTTACTCCGTGCCCGCGCCCCCCCCCCCCCCCCCCCCGTGCTCGGTTTTTGTTTCTCCATTTCGTCGTTGTTGTTTTTCGTGAAAGGTGAAAGGGCCTTGACCGAGGCCTCGCGACTCGGCCCCCCTTGGTGCCTCCTGGGCCCTGGGGGCCTCACGTGCCGAGTGGTCACGGGGCCTTCCCGGTACGACGTCCAGTCGAGCGACGTCGTCACCAAAATGACGAGGCGTGACGATGAGCTGTTCCTGCTGTGACTATGAGGTGTCCCTAGCGTCATGGTGGTAAGCTCCTGTGACGCCCAGTGGTCCATGTAGGGTAGAATTACATTTCTCATAACACCCCACGGCCAATCTCCCTTTGCTTCATGCAAGCTAAGACGTGACACTTTGCCGGCGTCTGATCATTTCTCAAGACTTCTCGTGTGACGCGCAGGGGCACCAGTTCACATTGACAGGGCCTTGGTTATAATCGGCGCCGTCCATGCCGCGCGGGACACAGACTTTGTACAAACGCAAAGGTCCTCCATGTAGCCCACACACGCCGACAGGGCAAGTGCTGTTAGCGAGCAGCACCTATGAAAACCGGCCCGGTCGCACGAGAGGGTGATCTGGCCAGCACCGTGTTCGGCCGCCTTGGTTTTCCCAGTGCTGATGTGTATTAAGGCTATGCGGCGGATCTTTGTCTCATATTCTTTGGGTCTTTCGGTAAAGTCACGTAGATAGGTTCAAAGAAAATAACTAAAAATTAAAAAAAACTACGGCGTTTCGATCGCAACACAAGCATTCGTCATCAGGAAGATGAGGGGGTAGTTTTTTGTAATTTTTTGTTATTTTCTTTGAACCTATCTACGTGACTTTGCCGAAAGACCCAAAGAATATTAATTCCTGCAGTCACGAAAGCTTCAAGTCAAGATCTTTGTCTTGTGTGCGTTTTCTGGGCCTCCTTTAGGTCGATGCAGCCTCACATAAGTAGTCGATGCTCATGGCCAACAGCCTCCATAGGCTACAGCGGGCGGAGGGGGGGATCTTCATCTGTGTACGTGTGTGGCAGCGGCTACGGGCGTATCATCACCGCCAATCGACGAGGGCCAGTAAAAGTGCCGTCTCCTCTGCTGACCGCTGTCCCACCTGCCGCTCAGTGCCAGCATGGTTTCTTCCTCCTCAGCTGGGAGTTGTCGCTGCCACGGGGAGACGCTGGGACAGGCGACGGACGAGCGCCGCGTTTTCCCCGGCACCGCCTCCCCTTCCCCGCGAGGGGTCAGGGTTCATGAGAAACCCGCCTCCATGTGACATGGGAATGTAGGCAGCACAAGGGGGGGCGGGGGGGGGCAGAGGGCAGTGGGACCTGGCGACATGGGGAGCCGGTTGCTCCAGGGCCCAGTTTTTGACACAGGAAAGGCGCCTGAATCTGGCAGTCTATGTCACCAGCACATATGGTTAATACAGCGAGTCGGAGATCGAACTCAGGGGCGCTTTTGCTGTGCGGCACGAGTGTTACCGCCACGCGAACTCCGCTCGTCTTCGCAAGCGGCTTTCGGCTAGTCGTCGAACAAAGACGGTCACTGCATCGCGAGCTTTCAGATGCGCTTCTGCGGCCGTCTGGAACGCTCTTCCGTCTGATATTAGGAAGCCACTGGAGTTGTGCACTTTAAAATCATCGAGGTTGAAAACTACTTTCTTTAGAGCTGCTTTTTGTGTTTAGTTGTCCTTCCTCCGCACCTCCGATTAGCACGGTTGGCCACGTACGGCGCGAAAGAAGTTCAACATACGTGCATACATCTTGACTTAAAGCTTTCGTGACTGCAGGAATTCATAGTCTTTGGGTCTTTCGGTAAAGTCACGTAGATAGGTTAAAATTAATAAAAAATATTTTTTATTAATTTGGTAGATAGGTTAAAATTTATTTAAAATATTTTTTTTATTTGGTTAAAATTAATAAAAAATGTTTTTATTAATTTAAACCGATCTACGTGACTTTACCGAAAGACCCAAAGCAAATACGTGCGTACAGACATACGCCGCGCAAGCTGCAGTGTAATGTCGTCTAAAACAAATGCATTTAAGAAAACAAAACAGACGTGCGCTGGTGGCTCCCCAGACTCTCACCCGAAGCTGCCCCGCGGTGAAAACGATCCCAAATGTAGCACGACGCTGCTGCTGTTGCTGCTGCTGCTGTGAGTGGTACCACTTGGCTACCTGTGAAACCTTTTTGCCATTGCCAGGATCAAAATGACGAGAGTGGAAATACAAGGACAGGCTTTAGCCTTTCTGGCAATAAACACAGGAGGTGTTAAAGTGCTGAAACACCAAATCGGTACATGTTTTGATTGGTGTAGGCCAATCAGTTTCAAAAGCGGTGCATATATTATAATGTTTGTTTGCATCTTTTGCCACAGGTACGTGTGGTTAATGCAGACTTGATGCCTTGTAATAGTTTATTTAATTCGTCTTGGAGCATCTTAACACCGTTTAGGGTAAAGCCTATTTTTATTTTTTCCCCCAATTGAGTAGTTTGCAGGTACATTTTTCAGCATCGGGATGTTTGGCCAATATAGGTGACACTGTATGTTCTTCTTGGTTCTTTCGGTAAAGTCACGTAGAAGGGAAATAATAAAATAATAAAAAGAAAACATTTTATTTTATTATTTCCCTTCTACGTGACTTTACAGAAAGAACCAAGAAGATGAATCCCTGCAGTCACGAAAGCTTTAAATCGAAAAAAGACACTGGTTTTTTTTAAAAAATCGGAACAGGGAGAGAGAGAGAGAGAATATCGCAACGCCACACAGTAGCAATGTTGTTGTGAGGCACGAGGAGTGTCACCACTGCGCCATACCCTGCCGCCCACTTGCACACCCACACCAGCCGCACAAGTCCACGCACGACTGCGATTGTACTTGTGCGCACACGAAGTGATTGGTCTAAGGTGAAGTGGAAGAACGAATCGGGTCGACATTTGCGGCACTCAACAGCACCTCACTCCCCTGGAGAAGGCAGCGGTCTATTAATAGCGCGCAGAGGTTTAAACGTCACTGTGAAAAAATTATAATCACAACATCCCTTCGCGCTGGCGCGTGCTCACAAGACGCTCCGCTACTGCTACCGCAGCAGCAGCAGTGACAACAGCCGCTGCTGCAGCGACAGCGGCAGCCTCGCCTGCCGCCATCGGCATCCCACGGGGTCGCAGGGTCAGCCGCTGAGATTCTAGCGGAGAAAATCAGTGAGTGTCACCCGTTAATTATGGCTGCTTAACGAGCTGTTGTGGGGGGGGGCGCCGTAACGGGGGGGGCAGCCCCTCCTGGAACGCTACGTTCCGCAAAAAAATGTCACGGCAAACAGAGCATCGCCCTGGCAACGGATGCAGGGATGATGGAGCTGAGAGAGGGGGCTGGGAGCGGGGGAGGGTGTTGGATGGGGGCGGCGGGAGAGGAGAGCGGAGGATGTAGTGGTGGGGGGAGCGCCTTTGGGGGAGGAGGGGGGGGGGGAGGTGCTGGCGACGAGGGGCAGGGGATGATGCCGGAGGGGAGGACGGGAGTCCAGGGCAGAAGGCGGCGAAAGATTTTGTGAGAGGAGGCGGAGCGGCCGTGAGGCGTGACGGTGAGCGAGCGTTACGGACAGCAGGAAAACAAATCGGCTGCGATCGTCGTGTCCTGTGCTCCTGATCGTGCGCGCGGGTGCATGCGCGTGTGCGTGCGTGCGCTTGCATGGAGCGGGTGCGCGCAGAGCGAGCAACGTAAGACGTGCACGCGTGGAGAGTGCGTGTCAGCGTGCGTGGGCTTGGAGAGCGAGCCATCGAGCGAGCGCGCGCACGCGGGAGTCTGCGGCGAGCGAGCGAGCCAGCGCGGGAGCGTGAGAGGGCGAGAGCGTGAGAGGGTGCGCGTCTGGAGACATGGTTTCCGTGCGGCCGAGTTCGTGGAAGGAGGGAGAATGTCGCCGGGAGCAGTGGAGGGCATCGCTGGCGGTGGCGGCGGTAGCCGGACGGGTCGCGTTTGCGTGGTCACCGTCTCTCGGCCGGGCGGCTCCTCGGCTGCGCGCGTGATCGCGTCCGCGAGGGTGAGTTTCCGACGTCCACCACCACCACCGGGGATTTGTTTTCTCGCCGAGCGTCGTA